AATATCTTAAATTCAAAGCTGCAAAGAGGTAATCAAATTATTTCACAATTATTTAGTGCCATTGATTCTTTCCGCAGACAATTATTATTATTTAAAAATCATATAGAGGCAGGTACTTTATATTTCTTCCCATCTTGTCAGATTCTTTTCGAAGAGCATGGCACAAATTGCAATTTTCAGAAGCATCTCTACTTAATTGATTCACTTATAAGTCAATTTAATACGCGGTTCAGTGATTTTGGGATGTTTAAAAATGATCTAATTTTTCTCGAGAATCCTCTTACCGTGCAAATCGAAGAACAAAATATAGATCGCAACAGAAACTTTGCGATTTACAATGTGATCTTTCCCTTAAAACGCGGTCGGAAAAAGGAATAGAGCTCTTCAAAATTTTAGACGTAGCAACTTATCCGAAGCTTAGAAATTTCGGTCTTCGATTTTTTTCCATGTTTGGATCCACCTATTTGTGTGAATGTTCTTTTTCCAAAATGAAATATATCAAAACAGACAGACGCTCTCGTTTGAAAGATACAACATTATCTTCGTTGATGCGAACAAGTTCTTCAAATATCCAGATAGATATTCCATCCATCATCGAATCATGCGAACGGCGTAACCGTACAAAATTTTAATTTAATAAATTTTAAAATTATTGTTTATATTCTTTTAATTTTGTTATTTCGTCCTTTAGTTGGTGGCTATTTTTCGTTATTCTTCTTCTTTAGTGGACTAGGCCTACAGGGAAAACCATTGAAAAAAAAAACGCGTCAACAATAGTACCTCATAGGTGACGTGAAAACTTATTGCTAAAAATATAATAATTATAATTACGTTATTCTAATTTATACAATAATGACATCATATACTGGGGATATCCAACAGTCCATAACTTAAATAATGTCGTTCATAAGTATTTCGTGCTTTTAATAAATGCGTCTTTTATAAAACTTTAAATTTACAATTATTTATTAATTTATATATCGGGAAGAGTTTCCGCGCGCGAGACATTTAACAAATTTAATCTATCGAAAATAATTTAATCATATTTTAGGATTATTATATGGTAAATGTAATTAATAATCGAGTATTGAAACTTTGTTCTTGAATTATTAGGTGTACAACTTTGCTTCCGCCATTTTCCTATAGATGGCTTTAGCGGTAAGTAGTGGTCGAAATAAATAGATCATAGACGTCATGCAATAAACTTGGGTATCTGTCAACATAACCCCATAGAAACATTAGTCGATTTGTGTCTGCATCATAAAGTTATTCTCGATTGAAAATGTCAGTTTACGAGCCAAATTCTCGTCATTTGCGGGAGGTTTTAATTTTCTGCTTCAATTTTTGAAGATGCAGAATTGGAGGCATTACTTAATGAAGACTCGAGTCAAAGTCAAGAAGAATTGGCACGATCATTGGGAGTGACTCAACAAGCAATTTCAAAACGCCTCAAAGACATGGGAATGATTCAGAAGCAAGGAAATGGGGTGCCGTACGAGTTGAAACAGAGAGATTTTGAACGGCGACGATGGACAATACTTTAAATCATAAATGTATAACCAGTTTTTTACAATAAAGCCTCGAATTTCGGAAAAAAAACGGCGGAAGCAAAGTTGTACACCTATAATTATTTGAACAAATTCTAAAGAGATCGCGTTTAAGACATTGATATTTGGCAGTAAGATAAAGTTTAATTCGAAACGAAAATTTGGTTTGGGTTATATAACGTAAATTTTAGTTTTAAATCAGAAATAGGTCTGGGTTAGGTTATATCTTTCGGAAGTGGAGCCCCCCCCCCGTAGGTTGGGGGCGGAACCCACTGCGTCCACGCATATACTTTACAACGCGAAGCGAGGTCTACCCCACAATTGTTGTGTGGGTGGGAGATGGATTGAGTTAGATTCGAAACGAAAATTTGGTTTGGATTATATAACGTGGATGGGAGATGGGTTGAGTTAGGTTAGTTTTTCTCGTGGTGGGGGTGCAGGAAGAGGGGCGACGCCTCTCTTCCGCCCACGCGTACGATTTATTACCATGTACGTTTTATTATCATGTCCAATACTTTAAAGTGATATATCTCGAAAACTATTGGTCGGAAATTTTTTTTACTATTTTTCTCGTGTTTCTCTTCAAAAATGCTTTCAGAAACGACTCTTCAAATAGGGGGCCGTAGTTATCGTAATCGTGCCCCGCGGACCCCTCGCCAACCGATTGCGCCGCGGTTTCCCTCTTCCCCACGGACCCCTCGCCTGGCGGATGCGCCGCGGTCCCCTTCTTCTTCGCGGACCCCTCAGCTACCAGATGCACCGCAGTCCTCATTTTCCCTGCAGACCCTTCGTCTAAGGTTGCGCCCTAGTCCCCCGCGTGACATCATACTTCCCCTCTTCCCCGCGGACCCCTCGTCGAAGGTTGCGCCGCGATCCCCCGGTGATGTCATCCCCCCCCCCCGCGTGACGTCATAATCCCGCGCTGCTCCCCCCGTGACGTCATAACCCTTCGCTGCTCCCCCGCGTGACGTCATAATCCAGCGCCCTCCCGCGTGACGTCATAACCCCGCGCTGATTTTCCCTGACTCCGCACCCCTTTTCAGATGACCTGCGTAAGAACTTTCCTAGTATTACTACTCCGGCAAATATTCGCATTTAAAAAAAAATGAAAAAGGTAATTATGCAATACAGAGGAGACTGCTCCGATGATCCTGACCTTGACATATGTTGTCAAGGATATGAGTAACCTGAGTAACTTTTCCTTATAACTTAATCGGCGATCATTGTTTATTAAACAGTTTGTCGTAACCCGACCGATTTCTTAATATTAAAAAATAAAACAAGTAAAGGAGAAAGAGCTGATCAAAGCAAAGCATTAGAATCAGGGAAAATGCTCAAGGAAAAGTAATTAAGAAATAATAAAAGTAATAAAAGATTATTAATAAAATAAAAGTAATATACGTGAGTAAAGAGAAAGAAGTCACGGTCAAGTTCTCGGAAGCTGAGTAAGCAGCTGACGAGACGGACTGACAAGCGAAGCACGAGACATGCACCGGTCAGGGCCATCACACTCCTCCCTAATCAAAGACCTAATTAATTAATATACAGGGTGTCCTAGACCACCCGTACACTCCTTTTCTTTTAAAAACTAAGCATTTTAGAGAAAAACGTTTTGAACAAAAATTGTATGGTTTTGAGGGGAACATAAGATGGTGTCATTGGTTTGACTTTGGATGGCATCGTTAAGGTCAAGTCAAGGACACCTTTAACTTCTTAAATGGAATTCCCTATTTTTTATTGCATATTCTTATAGCTTATCCCGAGAGCTTTCCAAAACACTATAATAAAGTATTTTTTCATTAAGTACTTTTTCGATAATCTTACGGTAATACTTTTATGTACAGAATAATGAGGCAAATCAATTAATGTAAAGAAAAAAACAAATAATTGTTTAAAAAAATAGATTGAATGTTCCCTTCAAAACCATACAATTTTCTTTCAAAACGTTTTTCTTTAAAATGCTTAGTTTTTAAAAGAAAAGGGGTGTACGGGTGGTATAGGACACCCTGTATATTGAGCGCGAGATGCACTGCTAGCTCACAAGGGGAGGGCCAGACGTGCCCATCTCAGATTCAAGCGGTGATTTTTCTATGAATAGTCCTTAATGAGATAGAAATTGTGTTAAAGTTTTAGCGCGCGCTTTTCACGCATTCGTCCAAAAAAAATTATGAAAGATTTTCCAGCATGACTTAACCGCTTCGCGATAAACGATAATCGAAGCGACCGTGTGGCTGAGCGGGTAGCGCTCAGGTCTTGTAAGCGCGGGATCGCTGGTTAGAATCCCCGTGTGTATATTTTTTTTTTGTATAATTTTATTTTTTTCGTTCCCAGCAACATTTTAGCATTACATAAATAAATATTGCGCGAGTTTTTCATAATAACATAAATTGCTTTCTATAAAAAACCGAAGAAAATGAGCAATGTTTAATTTAATCGTAAGAAATATGTTAATTAGTAAAATAATAATTATATAAACAACAAATTCACAATGCCCTATAAATAAAAATATTTCGTTTGAATTTCATGCGTTAGAGGTTCACAATTTTGATATTTTTGCGCACGCGCGCCCGCACACACACACACACACACACACATACACACACAACAGAGAGGATTTGGAGGCACGCGCGTGCCCGCGTGAAGCCTTATCTTTCTTCTGTTGTCGCCGTGGGCCCTCGTTATCGCAAAATCTCAATAGAAATGTTCGAATGATCATAACTCCGCGAAAAAAAATCGTAGAGACCTCGGCGACCTCGCGTTGTTCTCGTCTCGGAAAGCCCTTTCGAACGAGCCCTCACTCAACTCCACATGCCGTTTAAGATTTTTTGGCTTCCCCCACCCCCCGTCCCCCGCGGGTGTAGAGCTGGGTGTTTTTGTGGTTAAATAATAAACTTTGTGATCCCATTGTATCCCTATAAATTTCAATCCTATATTTTAAACCATTCAAAAATTATTTAGGTGACCCGAAATTTTTGGTAGGCACTGTATATCAAAAGTACCGCTATTTCAGGGTTGATTCCTTTGGTTTAAAATAATAATCTACATACATAAAAGCTTAAAATAACATACATAAGAGCTTAAAATACATACATAAAAACTTTAGAAAAACAAAAATATTATTGTATATATATTATTATTTTCTCTCTCCTCTGCCTTTTCCCTGTCTGCCCCAATGATAATTGGCCGAGGACAGTTTGTATAAAAACTTCATAAATCTTTCTTCTTGTTTACGTATTCCTGCGGCCCTTCCTCTTTGTCTGCGATCTATGAATTATTAAAATTAACAGATCATTTATATATTTTTTTATAATGGTGCGAAGATAAATATACACTACGTAAATAATACAAAAAATATATAATATGTAAAGAAAACATGTATAATCTTTTAATAAATTAAAATTAAGTATAATTAATTAATAAAATTAAAATATTACCTAGTCTCATATTTTCATTATGCTGATCGGCGACAAGATTAGCGGCCATCAAATCGATGGCGACAGGGTTAGCGGTCATAGGACCAGCGACAACGGGGTTAGCGGCCACAGGACCAGCGGCGACGCGATCGGCAGCTACGCGACCTGATATGCCTCTGGAGAGGCACGGTAGTTAGGATCGTTTGCCGGAAGGAAGTTGGGAATTCGGGCTCCGCCCGAGTAACTCACTGATTTTATTATAAATAAAAATGACAATTCCGCTTGCCTTGATTTCCGCGTTTTCGTTATGAGTGATTGCGCGGTCGCTCGGGCTTCGCGCGTGGCTCGCGTTGTCAGCGCTTCGCTCGGTCAACGTTCATAACGTGATCTGTATTCGCGTTACACGTTGAGCAATCATATCAAATAATATGTATTTAGAATAATATATTTAATAAATCATGTATAGCCTGTTCGGGCTATAACAGACTCATTGCAACGTGAGCGGTTGCAATGCGACCGGCGGCAACGCGACCGGTTGCAACGTAACCGTCGACGATGCGACTAATTGCGACACGACCGGCAACAAGACCGGCGGTGACGGGAGCGGCTATGACGGGGCTGGCAGCGATGGAGCCGGCGGCGATGGGAGCAGCTACGACGGGGCTGCCAGCGATGGGGCCGGCGGCGACGGGAGCGACTACGACGGGAGCGGCTACGACGAGACCAGGGGCAACGGTGGAACCGGTGGCGATAAGACCAGCGGCAGCGGTGGGATCGGCGGCGATGGGACCAGCGGCAGCGGTGGGATCGGCGGTGACGAGATCATCATCATCAATAAAAAAAGACCTCTGAAGATATCTTCTTCCTCATCATCTACTACCATCTAAAATTTTTTAAATAAAATAATAATGTTAAATATAAAAAATTGATATTAAAGATGATACTTACTGTTCTTTGTTCTTTATCCATTTTTGATTTCGAAGAGACGTTACTTCTTCTTCTTTAACAGAGGACTCGTTACTATAACTTATTTTCATTTTTTCAACTTATGAAGCACTCGTAATAACCGTAATAACTGCGATCGTAATAACCGTAATCCTAATCATGATCGTAATAACCGTAAAATCCATATCAGACTACGCATTGAAGATTGAGACTGAAGATTCAACATTGAAATTTGACCAATTAAGACAAAGAAAGGTAATTATTTACAGTAACGGACACCTCGCCAATGACCTTGACCTTGAAATATGTTGTCAAGGACATGACTCTGAGTAACTTTTTCTTATAACTTAATCGGCGGTCTCTTATAATTTCTGAGATACTTAAAGTTAAACTTTGATTTGAAACGAAAATTTTGTTTGGATTGTACAACGTAACACAAGTAGCAAATTACTCACACCAAATTTGGTAATTATTTACATTAAAAATTTGGTTTGAGTTAGGTTTGTAACGGTTCACCTTTCCCGTACGACGCGGATCAAGGCTCGCCGGTGCCAGGATTCGGGAGAAGGGGGAAACTCCAACTTACTGTGCCTCGTATAAGCGGTTTAAATAATTAGGTTTATTCAAAAAGATATTTAACACTGAAAGCTATGCGAAGCAACATGCGGGTACGGTGTGTACAGAGTTTTGCGCGGGAGCGGTTGTTATTCGCAAGGTGACGTGCAAGCACGGTGCGTACAGAGTTTCGCGCATGAGCTCGGGAAGCGAGCGTGGCTTAAGCGGCCGTGTTCTGCAGTCGCGGTGGTCGCATGCAAATAAGCTATGATTAATCCAAGGTACAGTACAGATCTTAAACACTACCGGGTGTCGCGTGGCCTTCGATGTAATTCCAACTGCCTGGCGGCCTTATCCTTAAAAGGACGGGGCGTCGGCGTTCTCGGCGTTCTATCCTTAAAAGGACTGACGCTCCTTAATAGTCTGAAGGCCGTGCGTAAAGGTGGAATCGGCGCGACACTTGGCGGGAATCCTAATGTCTAATTAACTCTACAGTCAGAATGCGCGGTATATACAGTGCGGGCTTACAATATGAGCAGGTCGCGGTATATACAAACGGTGCTAGAGTCGATCAGGACGCGGAGACCGGAGCGGTCTTACTGGTTACGGTATATGTACAACGGTCTCACGAACTAACGGGTCGCGGTATTTAGACGGAAAGATACACGGAGACCAAAGTGGTCTTACGGTGGAAACGGTCGCGGTTTATACGAACGGTGCGCGGGGCGCGGTACGGTCTTACGAACTAGGAGTGCGCCGTCCCAGCAACCGGGAAGCCCGGCATAACCACGGGTAGCCCGTGACCTGGTGTAACGCTAGGTATCAGGGTGCGCCGTCCCAGCAACCGGGTAACCCGGCGTAACTACGGGTAGCCCGTAGCCTGGTGTAACGCGGTATAGGTTTCGGATCAGGAGTTGTACTAGGTAGGACTCGGGATCGGGAACTGGTAACGCTACGCTCGCCGGAGCGCCTTATATACCGGCGGCCGGCCTCCCATTTGCGCGATTCAACGTGTGGTGGGGTGGTCCCTACGGTGGGGCCGCGACACGGGTGTGGGAGCTTAGGGACGCCATAAGCGCCGAGCCTAGAAAAGCGCGTGGTGGAACGGCCCGCTAGGCCGTTAGTAACGGTATCGTTACAGGTTATACCTTCCGGAAGTGGAGCCCCCCCGTAGAGGGGGCGGAACCCACTGTGTCCACATATACATTTTCCAATCCACACAACAATTGTGGAATGGATCTCGCTTCGCGTTATGTAGTATATGCGTGGACGCAGTAGGTTCCGCTCCCCTTACCTAACCCAAACCTATTTCTGATTCAAAACTAAAATTTATGCTTCTGCTTATGCTTATATTAATGTTTCATAACTTTTATTTGTAGAACAATTTTTTAATAAACAATGAATGCCAACAAAAATCTTTTATGTTACTCAGGGTGATAACCTTGACAACATATGTCAAGGTCAAGGTCATCGAAGCTGCCTCCCCTATATTGCATATAAGCAATATACCAATTACTTCCTTCAGTACTGACACAAAGTAGCAAATTTCTCAAACTTTTTTTGTTTATAACTTTTTAATAAACAGTGACCGCCGATTAAGTTATAAGGAAAAGTTGCTCAGGGTCATGTCCTTGACAACATATGTCAAGGTCAAAGTCATCGGCGAGGTATCCATTAATGTAAATAATTACCCAAAGAAATTTTAGTCCTTTTGTTCTGATTAGTCAAATTCCAATCTTTAATCTTCAATTTTCAAAGCATAGTCTGATACGGACTTAATAACCGTAGAGATCCTTAACCAGAGATCGACCAATCCGTTAACGATCTCTGATTGGCTCCGTCGCCGCGAGTAAATCCGGAAGTATGAGAGAGAAAGATATATATAGCTAACCTAACCGCCTAGCCATAACCGGAAGTGTGAGAGAGAAAGATATATATAGCTAACCTAACCGACCTAGCCATAACTGTCCGTCAATGCCACAAGCTGCCTCGGCCGTCGTGTTTTGCTTCTAATTTTCGTGTTCTAATTTTATGTATTTAAATTTTCCAAAGTGAAATTGAGAAAACTTGTGCATAGTAAGATATTTATTTTATTTTAGACTATGTAATTTAATGTGAATTATTTCGTAATGTAACTTCAAAATTAAATCCAATAATTTTTTGTTTCAAATCTGTTCGAGAGTCGACCTCAACGAGATTGCCCGAATCTTTCAGATGCGCTCAGAGTTGAGTAAGAAGCAATGTGTAGCGCGAATCCGTAGATTCGCTGGAGGAATAGGAGTTGAAACATTACTCACGTGAGTGTAGTTTTAAGAACGTTTATTAGAAAACACCGGGAGCGAGCCCCGACACGTATCCCGCGACTAAGATCAGAAATCTTCTGAATGTCCTTCGATGATCTGCCTTTCTCCGAGTTTCGGAAATATTGAAGGGCTTCTTGCTAGAAGCCCTCGCGAGAACGGAAATCTTGCGCGCGGACGCCGGATGGTTTTTAGCGCGAAGCAGAGGACATACGCGATGCGGTGAACGATCGGCAGCTCTCAAACTCCCCACTTACAATTGAACAATGTTCACTAACCAACAAAACGATGAAACGATTTGACCATAAAGAACTGATCGCCACGATAATATGATGCGATCGTGAGCGAGACAATTCGGTTTGAAATTGAATAGAACGCGAATTTGACTATGAGTAGCGCGACGAGACACGAGCGAGAATATGACACGAGATAATGCTACCCGAGAAATAATGATTGATTGCTATCGACCAGCTCGAATCGTCGTCAGCGGCAGACTAACTTGCGATCGTTAAAACTCGCGATCGTCCGATTTCCATAATAGGATATTTTCGGCACCGAACGTTCGAAAATCTAGGTGTTTGTCACAGTTTTTCTTTGTTTGGATCATGCGATCACGCGCCGATCGGCTGATCGCGACGATGTTTATTCTCGCTCGTGTTTTGATTTCGACTCTTACCGTTCAGATTTGTCGGTGGAATTTACCGTTTAAATTTATCGATTAAATCTAACGTTTCAATCCTGAACAAAATCAAATAGGTGAATTAAAAAAATGCCTCATGGTTGCAGTGCCGGTTATTGCACAAATACAAATAAAAAAGGCTTTCAGATGTGTCCATTTCCGAAGGATTTGGAAAGAAGAAAAATATGGATCCAGAATATAAATCGTATAGATTGGATTCCAACTTCAAATGCAAGATTATGTGATGTAAGTTATAATAAAAGATAAACTGTTATACAACACTGTTTTAATGTTTGCTGAAAAAAGTTATATAAATTATATTCTCTGTGCAGGTCCATTTCACCCCTCATGTGTGGATAACGAGGAAAGATGGCTCACGCAGACTAAAATCTGATGCGGTACCAACGATATTCAGTGAGAATTTGCCAACATTTCTAACAAGGCAAAATTTGGAAACAATTACCGAAGCTGCAATGATTGAACCTGATGTGCCTGAAGATACTTCAAATAAAATGGAAGAAATCAGTGAAGAAGAAAGTATCACAACTGAAGAAAAAAAATGATGTATTGAACATTCCAACCAATGGAGAAGGAACTTCAGATCCATGTGTTCTACGTCTTGAACAATTAGAAATGCTCTGGAAAAGAAGTGAACGCTTGAGATTTCAAATGAAAAAAAAATTACAACAGGCGAAAAGAAAAATAAAGAGACTTGAAGCTGAAGTATGTAAAAATAGAATATCTTTAAATATTAGTAATATTTTTAATGAAGATCAGTTATGCTTATTGTCTGGGAAGTGCAAAAAAATGCCAAATTGGTGCAATAATACTTTGATAAAAGCTTACAAATTAAAATTTGCATGTGGTACTAAGGGTTACGAGGAATTATTGAAAGCCAATTTCCCTCTTCCTTCTATTCGCACCTTAAGTAGGAAGTTAGAAAGTCTTAAATTCGAAAGTGGGGTAATTAGCGAAATTTTTGAATTTATGAAAATTAAAATTTTTAGGTTCGAGAAAGAGATTGATAAACATTGTACGTTAGTGCTCAATGAGATGAGTATTACCCCTGGTAGTTTTTATGATTCGTCAACAAACACGATCTTTGGCAACGTTACATTGCCAGATCATGATGAAAGTCTTATTGCTACCCATAGTCTCGTCTTTATATTAGCCGGTATTGCCTCGAGATGGAAACAAGCGGTTGCGTATTATTTTACAGGTAATAGAGTAAACGTCGAAAAACTAAAACCTATAGTTGAAACGATTATAAAGAAGGCTGAGGAAATTGGTTTATTTGTGCATAATGTTACTTCGGATATGGGACCAAGCAATCAAGCCATGTGGAGAGCATTTGGAATACAAGTTTCAAATGTTGTAGTTCAAAATAGTTATAAGCACCCTTGCTCTA